TTTCTTTTAATTTTTTATATACATGGAGTTAAATCATGAATTAACCATCTTAATTGGGAATACCAATGGTGTGTTCTATCTTAGGCAAAGTCAAGAGATCTATGCATATATTTATCATATTTCTTTATTTCTCAAGCAAGATTATTACACACTAGGCCATGTTACATATTATATTGATTGTATATAACATATCTAATTTAGTCAAGATACTTATGATCAGGGCTTCCATGGTCTTTTTAAATGCCACAGATACACATTGAGACCTGAGAAAAATAGTTGAAAATTAAAAGAAAAAATTGTTCATCAAAACTTTTGATCTAGATTAAATCAATGCCTTGAAATAGATATCTATATTACTAGTGTTTTACATTTGCAAGATCTCAATGGTGAATTTTCAACATAATGATAAAGCAAATCATCTAGCTAGATGATGAAAAATCATGTGATCTATAAATAAAATAAGAAATTGGATAGAAATTACACACTCAACTTGGCCACCATCTATTATATAACTTAACAGGCATATATCATAACCATAAGATTATAGCATTATACAATAGAGATGTATTTGATATTCATTATTGAGCTCAATGATTGGTTTAGTCAGATTATTGCCTAAATACAGATATTCAATATAGTGTCAGTCTTGTTCTCCAAGCTATGACAGAGAAGTAGCATCTAAAAGAAGACCATATACAAAAAGCAAGTATTATGAGTATGATAATGATGCTCTGTAACATTAATTAATAGAGACATGCAACACACACAGAGTACAGATCCTCAATGAAAGATTTGATGGTTCTGAACAAATGCAAAAAATATTTTCAGTGCAAGGAGCCAATACAGATGCTGACTTTGCCAGTATCCATAGAATATGTGTCATTGATTCCATGACAGTTAGAAGTCTATTTCTATTTTGAAACAATAGCTTGATGGTGAATTTCAGATATAATAATAAAGCAGATTATTGATCTTGAAGACTTTTGAGCTTAATAATATAATTTGATATTCATCATTAAGCTTGAGGTTAGTCTGATCATTGTGCAAATAGATAAGGAATGATATCAAGAGTAGAGTTTTTTGTGCTTAATATCAATGAGTTCAATTGCTTACTTCTCACTTGTTTTCTGTATACTTTGAGGCTATGAATATATTCAGAAAATAGCTTGATTAGATTTTGTGGCTGTCAGTTTTCATCCAGATGCTGATGAGCTACAGTACAAACCTATTCATTTAAAGCTCTATTTTGCAAAGAATATTTGATATAGACAAGTATTATTCTTAATTAAACTCTATGCTCACAATAGATCATACACTTATCCCACTTAAGATCACACTCATCTATGATCACTCTCCTTTGAAAAAAACATCCTCTTTTGGCATGCAACTAATTTCATTAGATACAAGCTGATATAACCACAGTTATAATATATAGCATAAAGAACAAGTAAGATAAAGTAGAGCTAATAGTAGATAAAGGTATACATATGCCTTTTAGTACATCCAAGTTACCTTCCTTGAGATTTCATGCACAATGGTAATCAGGACCTGATGAAGTAGAAACCAAAAAGAATTTACTCTCTGATAGATGGCCAATCTGCAGATTGAACCAAAGACTTGTATATTATTAGCACAACACTCTAACCAACTAGACTATTTGACTATCAAATTTAAGAAAAAAATATAATTATAAACTTAATATCACTATGTTGAATAACAACATTTAGATGAAAGAAAGGGTACCAAGTGCATAAACACAGCCAGCCAACTTGCTCAATCAATCCATTTATTTGAACTTTGCATCTCTGAAATATTTAGATTCCTTGCTTCAATAAGCAGATTTTCTATAGAACATAAGATATAGAGATTGTGGTTACCAGGCAAAGAAGAGAAAAGAACTTGATGAAAACAGAACAAGACACAGAACACAAAGGCTTGCAAAGAGAAGAAAACATAATAATACATAAATGTATATGTAGTCAACTAAGAAGTGAACCAGTGAAGACATCAAAAATATCCAGTCAAAACTGGATAACATCTTCTATTCATAAGGATCTTCTTTTAAAGTATGATACCCCTCCACACACCAATATAGAACTGCAATCCCTCCTCATTGATTTGCTTAATAACTCTATATCATCAGATGATATCTCACCATCAGGATCCACACAGATTAAGAGGTTTAGCTGCATGGTCCATGTTCAATCAATATACTACCTTGAATATACCATCATCATGAATGCATAGGTGGCAGGTCAGAATGTGCCATGATGTGAAGGTCCACAAGATAAAGCAGAAGCATAGGCCAATCTTCCTCTGAATATGTGAGAGATTGGCTGAATGCATTAAATGCATCCAGTGAGCAATTCCTGAATTCAAGGTGCAACACCTCAACTGTGGATGTATCCTTCATCAGATTGATGAGAGACTGATCAATAGTAACATTCTTCAAATGCAAATTTCACAAAGCACATTGAGAGCATATGATGAACTCATGGATAGTCAGAGTACTAGGCAATGGAATGGCATCTGAAGCAGTAATAGCAACTAAGTGTTCCAGTCTAGGAAATGTAAGATATAACAGTGCAGAGACAGGTGTGGTCAGATGGCACAATAATGTATGCATGATAGAGGTAGGTAGGCTGAGGTTGTATGCATCATGTTAGAGAAATAACCATTGTAAGTTTGGGGCCTTGCATAAAATATTGATGTCATCTCAGGGGATCTGCAAGAAAGATCAATATTGGTCAGTTGCAACTAAGGGAGATTGAGGGAGACTGGAGATTGGAAGCTGACCAAGAGGAAATCATGGAGATGGAGAGCTGTAGCAAGTGCATTTAGAATGCCCTCATCAAGCACAATCATAGAGCTAATATTGTAACAATAGAAAGAGCAGAAAATGTGGACTTGCTCCAGAAAAGGAAGGACATGTATTTGTGGCTAGGGAAAATGATGAGTAAAGTAAGCTGTGACATAGATTTTAATGATGCCCCAGTGACTGCAATGATCCAAGAGCACATTCCAAAGATGTCCATTAGAATTACCTCTTTCCTCATACCAGATATGGAGAGGGTAGGAGCGGGATCAGATGAGGGACATTTTTATCTTATGGATCTGACCTGCTGGCCATGAAAAATTGCAAGTCTGTGACCTTGGGATATGAACATGAGTCCATAATTCAGAGCATGATAGTGCAATGTCTCTCCATTGTTGACAGACTTGCGAGAGAATCCAGAGGGTGTCATAGCAGCAATCCTACTCATTAGTGATGAGGGTCCAAGAAAAGATAGTGGTATATATCTCTAGCATCACTCGCGAGATGGGTGGGTCATCCCGTGTTGACTTTGATGACACATAAGAGTCGTTGGGAGGGTAAATTTCCGATTCCATGGATCTGAGAATTTGGAGGAAATTAAATGACAATGACGATGAAAATGGATCGAACCAGAGAGATGTCGAGGCGCCGTGAGTGGTTGACTTTCTTTGGAGAGGCTGCACGCAGCGTTCCGTATTGCATCACGTGTGACTACCGGGAACAGGCTGCAGCACGAAATCAAGTTTAGGGAGGAGATATGGGAAAAGGTGTATCTGCCATAGGACCATTTTCGGAAGGCACGGCTTATGGAAAAAAGAAAACAAAAGTAGGGACATGGACAAGTAATTTAAATAGATTAGGGTTTTATCTGGCGTCTCTGCAGCATGAAGGGATTGTAGGTCATGAGCGATGATGGGAGAAGAACGATCGCGTCGAAGATGGGACCATTTCCGCGGCTGAGGGATCGTGTGAGAGATAAGGAGCGAAAGACGGGGATGGAGGGACCAATATGATAGTTACGTTCCATGTTCGCTCTTCCTTTAGTTTTGCATCCCAGAGAACGAGGTACCTGGCATGTAACTCAGCAGCAGCATTTCTGGTAATTTAGAACCACCTACATACTTTATCCTGGAACAATTCTGTGAGCAAGAGAAAGGATCGGTGAGAGTATGGACGTACTTTTCAGCCTCCTTGTCACTGGGTCTCTTTCCACTTGGATGCTAGGCAGGTGTAGAGCTGCGGGCTGCTTGTGATTTGGATGGGAGCGGTCGTCTTGAAGAGCCAAAGAACCCAGGCAAATTGGGGCATCTTGGCCATGATGCTGAGAGGACAAGGGAATACATGGAAAACTGGAAAATGAATTTTCAGTCTTCGCGTAATGTAATGTGATCTACTTCCTGTGCCGTTAAGAAATAAATAAATCGGAAGGCATTGAACGTTGTGAGCAGTCGGAGCTTAGGGCAGCGCACATAATGTGCTGACTAAGCGAGCGAGCGAGATTTCTCATCTCTCTCTCGCTCGCACAGCCTCGCCAGTGCCAAAATTCGCTACGGCGAAGTCTGCGACTTGTGTTCAGTTACTCAATTCTTATTTGCTTTATCTCTTCTCTTTCACTGATGCTCCGATGCTGCTGCAACTGAAACCTTGGGCCCTGCCAACGCAGGCACACGACTGACGACAAGCCTTGAAACGACGAGATGGACAAAATGCCAGTGAAGATGAACAAAGAGGTAATAGAGAGAAACACCAGAAGAGCTCGAAGAAGAAAGGATATGGAGCAAAGGAGAGGATCTCCGGATGAAGAAGATGAGTCCGAATTCGTTGTTCAAACTGTACAGAAAGCTGCCGAAGCCAAAGCGAAGTCTTCATACGGGCCTAGGACTATGGCTTCCGTGGCTCCCTCAGCTTGGCCTGCTGCATCCACCACTTCCATGGGTACCGCGCTTGCAACGATGTTCTCAGATGACAAGACCGAAAAGAATGTCGAGGCTTACAATCCTAATGGCGCCACCTTTCACATCGGACCTTCACGCAATCACGCCTACCTCCGTGAACGGCGCGAGCAAGAAATTCGTGTTCGCGAACCTCGATGTATCCAAAGCCCCTCCGGAGGACAATATTATGCATGACCATTTGAGCTATTATTCAAATTCAGGGTATGGATATATCATCTAAGTAAGGACATCTAAAACGTCGCCGCAGGATAGTCAGCATACCCCTTCCTCTCATCTGCCTCTACACCTCCATGCCCAAACAATGACGCAAAATCAATATTTCCTTCCAGCGCGACGCTTTTCTCCACCCTCCTCGCGAAGTCCGGGTTCGCCACCCACAAAATACCAAAGAACACTCCATCGACCTTGCCATCCTCAACATACCGCGCGGCCTCCTCCCCTGTAAAGCCCGAGTTCGCAAACACCCTTGTAGCAGGGTTCCTCAGCAAGGGCGCATACGTGCTGAGGATATCATGCTTCGTTCCACGCCGGGCACCGTCAATAACAGGATCCAGCTGCTCTGCGTATCGCACGAGCGCAACATAGGCGATCCCGAGCTTGTCAAGTTCCGAGATGAGGTAGCTGAACGTGTCCACGGTTTCTTTGAGCGGCATTCTGACCAATCTATCAGTAAAACATGTAAAGCCGATACCTCTAGGAGGACATACCCAACATCGTTATACCCTCCCGCCGGGTTTAACTTGATCCCAACCCTGTCTGCTCCCCAGATCTCTACCGCGGCCTTGACGACCTCCAAAGCGAACCGAGCTCTATTCTGGACGCTCCCGCCCCAATGATCCGTCCGGTGGTTGGCCGTGCTATCGAGGAACTGGTGGACGAGGTACCCGTTCGCCCCGTGGATCTCCACGCCATCGAAGCCCGCCTCTTTCGCGTTCACCGCGGCTTGTTTCCACTGCGCGAGGAGAGTCCGGGGGTCGTCGATGGCGGTGGGGGTGACATAGCCTGGCTCGCCAGGGAGGAAGCGGAATTTGCCTCCTCGGGCGGAGATTGCTGAGGGTGCATAGACGGGCTGTCCTGAGGCGATTTGCTCGGGTGCGTCGGGGTGGCTTACACGTCCGACTAGAGGGTGTGTCAGTATGTATTGTCTTTTCCTATGATAAGAGGGTACTGACCATGCCATAGCTAGAAAGAAGACAGCGTGTAGCTGGCGAGAAGGGAGGGAGATAAGACGTACCTGAGCAAAGATGGCGCTTCCCTCTTCGTGTACAGCGTCAGTGACCTTCTTCCACCCCTTGACCTGCTCTTGAACCCAGAGACCAGGAGCGTTCTGCCATTCCGTCCTAAACATTGATATATCAGCGCTGAAGAAAAAAAAGACGAAAGAAAGACATACCCTTGTTGAGCGATGAGAACGCCTTCGGTGATAATCAGCCCAGCGCCTCCCGCTGCGCGTTGTCGGTAGTACTCGGCGTTGAGATCATTGGGAACGTTCGTGGGCACGGCGCGGTTGCGCGTCAAGGCGGACATGAATATCCTGTTCTTGAGCGTGATGGGGCCGAGTTTGAGAGGCTGGAAAAGAGCTTGGAGGTTCGACATTGGTATTGGTTATGAGACGGATAAAGATCGGCGCCATAGCATGCTTGTTATAGCGTCGCAGGTGTTACGCGTTACTCCTGATGATATACCATGACTAAGGGTAATGACATCCTTCATGAGAATATCCATCCTTCATCGACTATTTAGTGACAAATCATGAAAAGTTGGATGATTTGTCAACAACTGCTTATCCATGAACTCGAGGGGGACGCTGCCGCGCTGACGAGTCAGAGTGGCAAATCGGAGACTGGCATGTGGAAGCCAGATTCATTTGTCAGCCATAAACACTTGTTGGTGAAAAAGCCGTTGTTATGAGGGACTAGACTGTTTTGATATGGTAATTTTAAATTATCCGTTGCCTATCACGTGCGTAATCACATGACAGGCATGCAGATTCTTTTATTGAGTCTTGAGAGTTGTGTATCACATTTGTAGTGAACTCTCAGTGCAAGAGGTAGGTTATTGTGGTTTGCAACTCTCCAATGTGGCCAGAATTCTGATATTCATTTTACAAGTTCCTTGTATCACTCATTTGACACTTTCTCTACTGGTGATATACAAGAAAGTCAACCATGCATACAGATGATGAGTGCCCATCTTGAAGTGATGTAATGACAATGTTTATATGTATGAATTTATTCAAGTTGGAATAGTTTCTTTGGAATATCAGTTTTCACCTTCAGTGGCTTTTTCTCTTGCAGAGACTTGAAGAAATTAATAAGCCATTTATGATTGATCTTGATGTTATGGGTGTTCCATGTATTGGAAGGATGAACCATCTGTTGGCTCCTTTGCCCAGCACAGCTCCATCAACCACTAGTAGTTGGCATCTTCAGGCCATCATTCTCTATCTCTGTTATGTGCATGCCGCCGGCCTCCGTGTCACCTCAACCAACCACAAATTCTATCACGCTACCCACCGGACTCTGGCCGCTTCCCATTACCTACTAATTTCATTTCACCATTATCATTTCACATCTGTATTTCACATTGTAATACCTAGACCCCGAACTCGGTAGCGAATATTCACACCGGAACCCAATGGAACCCGACTCGGAATTAGCTACCATTAGTATATAAAGCCATGTATATCACCGTAACTACTCAGTTCGAATATCAACTTGGATAAGCCATCTACACTTCGTACTCACTCCTCCCTATCTCATCCGTCGGATTCCGCTCCGAAGGATACTCCTGTTCACTTCTCTGACAGAACTCCGTTCTGTCCATCCAGATCCTTGGGCCCGACTCAAGGGTGACGTTGCCAATAGCTTCGTCAACGCCCACGCACTCCGCCGGACTCCGCACGTGCACTCAAGCCCACTCGATTGGCACGTTCCTAACAGTATATTTGAACTCAAACCCTTGAGTCGAAAATTTTATCATGTCCACCACATTTACCGAACCCACAGAGACCGATCCTGAACAAAGGCAGCCCACCCATCCAAACATGTTTTCCATGGAAGACATCCTGGCATCTGCCTCAAAGGAACAACCAGGCCTGTTCGGATCAGCCTCCAGTGGGGGACAACCTTCCCGTAGGGAAACCTACAATCACTCTAGCTTCACTGCCCGCCAACCTAATTACGATGATTCCCCTAACCCTTTCGACGCCACCAGCATCCCAACCAACGGGGCCCGACAGGCCAGCCTGATGTATGGCGCCCGAACCGACCCCCCAATAGACCCCTTATCCCTGGGCAACAACCATGGGAATCCAGACAGCCCAGACTCAGAGGGCAGAGATGAAGACACCCCTACTCATACTCCCATCCGACGGGAACCGGCTGGCAATCCACCAAACCCTTTCCCAGGTGGACCAGGTGGACCAGGGGGACCAGGAGGTCCAGGTGGTCCCAATGGCCCAGGCAGCACCGACGGCCCCACAGGAAGTAACAATCCAAACCAGCAGGACATGTTCCTAGAATTCATGAACCTGTTACGAGGAGTCTCCGCCTCCCTCAACAACCCTAAACCAGCCACTGTCCGTACCAAGGTCAAGAAACCAGAACCATTTGATGGCTCTGACCCTTGCAAACTAAAGGCTTTCATTGTCTCCCTTCAGTTGAACTTCAACGACAGACCTACCGCGTTTGCAACAGATGCTAACAAGGTTAACTATGCCATTTCATTCCTGGCCGGCACCGTGCTCAACTGGTTCGAACCAGACATTCTTAACCCCAATCCGCGGAATCCACCAGCCTGGCAATTCTCCTACGCAGCCTTCTTAGATGAGCTTCGTAGCAACTTCGGCCCCTTTGATGCTATCGGAGATGCTGAAGATGCATTAGAACACCTTCAGATGCGCGATGGCGATCGGATCATGAAGTATATGGTCCAATTCAACCAGTATGCTTCACAAATTGGGTACAGAGATAACTCCCTCCGCCATGCCTTTTACCGTGGCCTCTGCACCCATATCAAGGATGACATGGCACACCATGGGAAGCCAAACAACCTTCGTGATATGCGCTTCCTTGCCCAAGAACTTGATGCTCGTTACTGGACCCGGAAGACCGAAATTGCCCGTGAAAACCGGGACAATAAATTCCCCAACCCCAAATCCAAGGGGTCTAACACATCTCCCTCGGACTCCAGCTCCACACCAAAATCTACCACCCCTAAGCCCTATGCCGACAAGCTAGGCAAAGATGGCCGTCTTACCCAGGAAGAAAAAGACCGCCGGCGCCAGAACAACCTTTGCATGTTCTGTGGAGCCAAACACAAGACCGAGGACTGCAACAAGCGGAAGGCAGCAGCCTCCGCCAAGGGGCGTGCAGCAGAGGTCGACACCGCTCCCATGGAACCGGCTCCGACAGAGTCAGAAAACTAGGAAGCAACCCTGTTCCCTCCATGCGAGTTCAGGGTTGCGTCGACTGTATTCGCACACCGGAGGTCATCACTCTCAATGCAACATCCCTTTCCAATCACTCCTTCCACATTCCCCTCTCAGCAGAATTGCTGACTACTACGGAACCCGATGGTTCCCCAACTTGTATCATCCTACGTTTTCTTGCCCTTATTGATTCTGGCTCTAGCCACTGCTTTGTTGACACTAAGTATGTAACTGCCAATGAAATCCCCATTAAAACCATCCCTAGTGTGCAACTTCGATTATTTGATGGCTCCATCGGGAGCTGTATATCTCAAATAGCAACCATCCCCATCTGTTTCCCGTCCGGAGACACCTTCCCCATCGACTTCTATGTCACTCCTCTGGATTCATCTTGCAATCTTGTCCTAGGATACAACTGGCTCTCCCGCTACAATCCACTGATTGACTGGGCTGAGAACAGTATCATTTTCCGTTCAAGCTACCAAGACCCCACTCCAACCAATTCCGTGGCCTCCACCGCATCCCAGGGACTTCCGTGCCCACAGGACAACAGTCCACCCCTTTTCGAGCCTTCCAGCTCAATTTCGGGACTTCCGTGCCCATCGGACTCTATCAGTCCAACTTCCGGGGCTTCACCCCATTCCAAGTCCACATCGGGTAACCGGCGGACTTCATTCCCATATGAACCCATCTACTCCTATCCTCCCTCAGAATCTTTTACTACAAAAGCACACCCAAAGATCTCCATCATATCCGCTGCCGCATTCATCCGAGCCAGTGCAGAAGAAGGCGCCCAGCAGTTCACACTGCAGCCTTCTTTGCCTAATATTGGAGCCAAAGCCACATCCGCAGAACCGGCAGATCTTTCATCAGTGCCAGTAGAGTACCACGATTTTGCAGATGTCTTCAGCGATACCCTCTCCGAAAAACTACCTGAACACAGACCGTACGACCTCAAAATCAACCTTGAGGAAGGGACAGCCCCACCACTTGGACCCATTTATTCTCTCTCAGAATCTGAACTCAAAGCTCTACGAGAGTTTATTGATGATAATCTGCGCAATGGGTTCATTACTCTGTCCCGCTCTCCACACAGGGCCCCAGTTCTATTCGTCAAGAAAAAGACCGGTGAACTCTGGCTTTGCATCGACTACCGTGGCCTAAACAAAATCTCCAAGAAAGATCGCTACCCTCTCCCCCTCATTTCTGATCTCCTCGACTCCGCCCGCTCCGCGCGCATCTACACCAAGCTCGACCTTCGGCATGCCTACCATCTCGTTCGCATAGCTAAGGGGGACGAATGGAAAACAGCCTTCCGGACCCGTTACGGTTCCTTCGAGTGGCACGTCATGCCCTTTGGCCTCACAAATGCTCCAGCGGCATTCCAACGATTTGTGAACGATATATTCTCAGACATGCTCGACATATCAGTAGTAGTCTACCTCGACGACATCCTCATATATTCCGACAACCTGGAAGATCACCAGAAACATGTTCGTGAGGTCCTACGCAGGCTTAGAGCTAATGGACTCTACTGCAAAGGTTCCAAATGCGAATTCAACCAGGACTCCATGGAGTACCTAGGCTACATCCTATCACCTGAAGGACTTCGCATGTCTGAAGAAAAAGTCAAGGCGATTGTTGACTGGCCGGTGCCGCGAAAAGTCAAGGACATCCAATCCTTCCTTGGCTTTGCCAACTTCTACCGTCGCTTCATACACGAATATAGCGACATCATCATCCCCCTTACACGACTCACCCACAAGAGAACCCCATGGAAATTTGACAACAAATGCTTGGCCGCCTTCAATGAGTTGAAACAGGCCTTTACACACGCCCCCATCCTTACCCACTGGGTCCCCGATCGAAAGATAGTGGTGGAAACCGACGCCTCTGACTATGCAATTGCAGCTATCCTCTCCATCTATCTTGAAGATGGCGAAATTCACCCCATCGCTTTCTGCTCCCGGAGCCTCCACAATGCTGAACTCAACTATGACACCCATGACAAAGAGCTTCTAGCCATTTTTGAAGCCTTTAAACATTGGCGGCACTACCTCGAAGGCTCCGCGGACTCCATCGATGTCGTAACAGACCACAAGAACCTTGAATACTTCGCCACCACTAAGATTCTAACCTGCCGACAGGTCCGCTGGTCCGAATACCTATCCCAG